GCCCCCGCGCCCCTTTTTTTTCCCTCTCTCTCTCATTATAACATTTTATATGATCCTTTTTCTTGTGTTGCATAATTCTCTTATTCATTAGAACAAATAGAGGCCCAAAAAGCAATTTGTGCTGTTTCCTTTTCTGCATCAATGGAATCTTTCATTTATATTTTTTCTTTAACGGAAAAGGATTTGATATATTCCTCAATTTTGTCATTTAAAGCTAATATATTCTTTGTTATAAAAGTGACTTGTATATACCTCCACTTATAACTAAATGGCTCACTTATACCTTTTTCCTCTAACGGAAATAAAAAAATAATAATTTTAATCTAACTTTTTATTATTTTTTTAAAAAAAAATGTAATCCCATATGAGTAAATTTAATCCTTGTCAAACATATTTTTTTGTTTCAATGACTAATTTAGAATTATTATTTTGATAATCAAATTTATTTATGTTTCACTAATATTCTCGTAAAACTTATTGTAGATGATCAAATTTTTTTCTTCAAATACAAAAACCAAATTACAATATAGACAAAAAAAATAGTTTAAATTTTTCTCTTTAAACTAAGAAATGAAAAAATAAAAATAAAATAAGAATAAGAAACTCAATTAATCATAATAAAAGAAGTCATAAAATAATTTATGTATGAAAAAAATAAAAATATAACTTGAACTTTGATAGAAGAATCCATATAAGAAGACGTGTTGAGCTTTCTTTCCTTCGCTAACCCCCATAGTTGAATAAGAAAGTTCCGTCTCCAGTTCAGGGGAAGGACAAAGGAAAGATTCAGCGAAGGATAATTTTAATTTTTTAAAAAATTAAAACTAATAAATATAAGTTTAAAACTAATTTTTGTAACTTCCTTTAAATGAAGGATATATGTGAGTCATTTTGTAACGACAGGGGTATATATGAGCTGTTGTATAACGATAAGGACATATATAGGTCACTTTCATAACGAGGGATATCCAAATGACAAAGTTAAGAGGTGTATCAGACCCTTTTTGATTAGTAAATCATCACCCCAAAAAATAGACCTTAGTGATAACGTGTGGTTTTCTAACACATAATAAGATGTGACATAAAGCTAGTGCATGTTAATTCATTATAAAGGGATAAGGTACTTCATATATCATAATTTTGTTGGAGAAATTAAATTATTAAGAATGGAAGATGTGAAACTTTTGGGCACAAAAGAAAGTATATTTACTCAAAGAATAATATGGGCACTTAAGTTGAAAGGCATTTGTTATGAATTTATTGAGCAAGATTTTTCTAGCAGAAGTAGTCCATTGCTTGTGAAACTTAACCCAGTTTACAATAAAGTGCCTGTTATTGTTCATGATGGAAAATCATTAGCTGAATCACTTGTTATTCTTGAGTATATTGAAGAAACATGGCCACTTATTAATCCTTTATTTCCTCTGGATCCTTTTCAAAGAGCTTCTACTCGTTTTTGGGCTCGTTTTGTTGATGGCAAGGTAAAAATATTATCGTATTTTAATTTGCTATAACGAATAATATTCTTATTTTCCATCATTCTAATCTCACTTTTTATGGACGATGTGATCGATGTTAATATTAGTCCACCTAACTTAATTATTGATGCAAATAGTTAGGTTAAATTATTGGATTATGCCAGTAATGTTTTAATGTGGTGCTTACGAATTAATAACTATCGAATGTAGCCTCGAAATATAATGCTTCTATGAGATATTTATTTATGAGTGGGCAAGCTCTTCTATTCTGGTTCACGATTTTTTTCTATTTTTTTTAAAAAATTGATTGATGCAGTTTTATGAAGCAGCTAAGAAGGCATTTTTCTCCTCTGGAGAAACAAAAGCAGAGGGAGTTGAATCGGTGGTAGAGGGATTACATCTTCTTGAAGGACAAATAATTGGGAAAAAGTTTTTTGGTGGTGAGAAAATAGGGTACCTTGATATAATAACTGGTTGGATTGCTTATTGGTTCCAATATATTGAAGAAATTGGTGAATTTAAAGCAATGGATTCAACAAAATACCCTTGTTTACATGCATGGATCAACAATTTCATTCAACTTCCTATTATTAAACAAAGTCTTCCTACACCTGATGTTGTCAAATCTGTTTTTAGGGGATTCAAAGATGCCGCAGCCTTGGCTGATGCAAATTGAATTAAGAGGTGTTTGATGCAACGCAAATTATTATTTGTATATGATAAGTACATATATTTTGAGTAGCATAAGTGTTCAGTAAGTACAAGTCTTGGAGTTCATAAACGGAATAAATTAAAATATACTTTCTGGTGTCTGTATGTTTTGGTTACATACGTACAAACTCTTCCAAAAAAATAAAATGAAATTGGTTATGTTCCATTGAAAAGATACTCTCTTGTTAGTAAGGCATCTTTAGTAGAGGCATTTTATATGTGTTTTAGGAATATAAACTTAGGTTAAAGCCACTTGATAGCTGCATTTTTCTTGTAACAAGATAGTTGAATATTTCAGCTTCCGTTACCTCCAAGAAAAAGCACACAACATAAAAAAAACAAACATTTGCCGCTCAAAGAGTCTTTAATGTGGAAGAAATAGGTATTTTTATGATGGGAAAAACAGAGGAGAATAATGCATTCGAACATTTTAGTCATGGACATCAATTTGTTTACATCAATAAGCAAAGTAATGCAATTTGCTTTGGATGTAGACTCAATATATTGCCTGGTAAATTCTACTACAAATGTGAAAGTACGTGTTCGTTTTTCCTTCATCAAGAGTGCTTCAATATGCCCAAAAGCTTGCAGCATCCAGTGGATCCAATCCATCGTCTTACTCTACTAACGACAATACCTTCTTCATCAAAATGCAACGCGTGTAGAAAAGAAATCTTGGGATTTTCTTACGCGTGTGCCAACTGCTCTACTTATTATCACACACTATGTTTATTAGCATTACCTCTTTCGATTGAAATGTCATCTCATTGCCATAAACTGGACTTGGAATTCTGTCCTCCTTATGATTTCGAATGTGACTTGTGCAAAAAGCCTAGTTATAAAGGGTGGCTTTACCATTGCAGCTCTTGTGAATTTGATGCACATATTTCATGTGCTATTACACATACTGATGAAAGAAAAACAGAGAAATGTGATGAGTTGATGGAATTACTGTCGATATACATGAAGGGAACGGAGGAAACCAGCGTTAGTCAAGATCAACTTCATCAATATCAAGCTCAACAAACCCCGAGTTATCAATTCAGTGATCAATGCTTTTCCATTGATCTTACAAAGTCTCAGCAACTAAACGATGAACAAACCAGATCAATGGACACTAAGGAGAAATCGAATGTGGCTTATGTTACACTGGCAAATGAGATAGGTTCTGAAGTTTGGATGGGATTAGGCAGGGAAATGGAGAAGGCTTATCACACAAATGACTCTAACAAAGTAAGAATTATTCATTTACGATTAACAAATTTGTCTAAGATTCGCAAATAATGTTAAAATCATTTCCATTACATATTTTCAGGAACGTTCGAGGAGTTCATGTTGTCCAGACATACTTCAAACTCTGTTTTGTCTAAAGAAGTGAAAATACAGGATGTAAACTATTATTCTTAATATAAATGTTTCTATTTGATGAACTAATTTTATCAGTCTAAAGGGATGAAAATTAGTTTAGTCTCTTACACTCGATCACGTTATCTCAGACTTTTCAGATAAAACACAAGAATTGCTAACGATACAATTAAGTTAACGATAATCAATGGACAATTACGTGAATATATTCAAAATAACTTTCTGGAGTTTGTTGCAGCAGGCCTTTTGTGGTCACTTTGATTTTTCATCAATTGCAGTCTTAATAACGAGTCCAATAGAAGTATATAAATCATGGGATGATTTGGGCATTAAAATTGAAACTGGAAATGGATCCTATTGACAAGATAGTTAATTCCATTGCTAATTCATGACAGAAAGAATGGAGTCTATTATCATTCTTCGATACGACACGACAAATTTAATTTTAGATCACTAATTTTATTGAGCATGTGATAAAGATTTTTCCTTGTAGCTATAGCTATGGGCCATGAAAATAGCTGCAAATTACAAGGCAATAGACTCAACAAAGTATCCACATATAATATAAGATTAGATAATAATGGAGTTTTAAGAAAATAAAAAAAATTATTGAATTTTATGATTATATGAAAATGTATTAAGATATCTTTTTAATTTTATCCTCTTTAACTTTTAAAAAATTATATTAACACTGAAAAAATAAAATTTATAAAATCTCATATAATAAGAAAAAACCCACTTACCTTTTTAATGGACTAAAAAAGAGATTAAAAAATATAAAATCAAAACACAAAGAGTATATTACTAATTCAACATCTAGGATATATGCATTGGTGGCAATGTGTTGGCGGTAATTAATGAACCCATATCATTATCCTAATATTGCTACATGGATAATATTCACAGATTAATAGTGAAATTATGATTGTCTTAATATTGGTTCCATGAATATGTAACGTATTTGTATCTTCATATATATACAATATAAGAAAATAAATAAAAACCTTTCTTGTTTTCCTAAAATATCATTTTTCATTTAAAGAAAAAGTATTTTCCTTTCCAACAAATACATGAACCTTACAATCCACATCAAAACAGGTTTGAAAAAATATTAATATCTCAATTTATTGAATTTATGAATTTCACATTTTTAGGAATCGTTTAGGAGAGGAGAGATGAATGTGGACCTTGTTCTTGGTGTTTTCCGAATAAGCTTCTAACTAATATTACTAGTATATATATTGAACCAAATAGCACAAATTTACAACAAGTAAAAAAAAAAACTTCTTTTCTTATTCTACATTAAGCTTAATTATGTCTTTTAAATTACTCTTTATCCATTTCTTAGTCACATACATGGTCCTTAGTGAAATTTTATTCATGTCATTTTCATTTTCATATGCAATAAATACCAATTGTCCATCAGGGTACCCAAAGAAGGGAGTGGGAGTGGAGAAAGATGATATAGACAAAATGCAATTTGCAGTGAACTTGGAGTTTTTGGAAGCAGAGTACTTTTTATGGGCTTCTTATGGATTTGGGCTTGATGTAGTTGCACCAAATTTGCCTATGTCTGGGCCACCTCCTATTGGTGCTAGAAAAGCAAATCTTGATCAACTTACAAACAATATTATTATGGAATTTGCCAATCAAGAAGTTGGTCATCTAAGGTAAAAAATTGAAATTTGGAATCATGAAGAATTTGGAGTATTGACGTCGCATATCCAAATTTCAAATCACGATATCAAATTGCATGTTCAAATGAAAGCTAAGTTTTATGTACCATGATGCGAAGTATTTATATATAATTAGGTTGTGTAATGTGTGTTTGATTGATTTGCAGGTCACTTAACTCAACAGTTGGTGTTTTTCCAAGACCTTTGTTAGATCTTAGTGCCAAACATTTTGCAAAGATATTTGACGATGCTTTTGGGCACAAATTAGTACCTCCATTTGATCCATACAGAGACAGTTTGAGCTACATGTTATCTTGCTATGTGATTCCATATGTTGGATTGGTTGGTTATGTTGGTACAAATCCCAATATCAATGGCTACGAAACTAAAAGGGTAAGTAAATATATGTATGTATTAATCCTCAACTCCCCCTCCCAACATGATTTAAGAAGAATGATTTTAGAGGCAGATGATCTTAAACTTTTGATGTCTCGTGGACAAAATTTTAAACTTTTTAACACAAAAGGTTTGGCCATAAGAAAAAAATGCATACTAATAGAAAGACAACCTTCCTTATTTTTTCTTTGTTTTCTTAATCGAAAATAGCATGATATGAACTAAACCAATAGATACAAGAACGTATTTTACACCCTCAAAAGCCAAAATTCAAACAAATATGACTCTAAAGTTTAGATGAAAAATGACACATACATTGAAAAAGTATAACCTTTTTCATTGCAAATAATATATTTTTTTCTTTCGTAGCTTTTGGCTGGATTATTAGGTGTTGAATCAGGACAAGACGCAGTTATCAGGATGTACCTCTACGAGAGAGCAGCGGAACTAGTTTCCCCTTATCACTACACGGTGGCTGATTTCACATCTCGTATATCAGGACTAAGAAACAAATTAGGTAATTGCGGGATCAAAGATGAAGGCGTATACGTTCAGTCACCACTTGGAGCAGAGAATCGGACTAGAAGTAATGTATTATCAGCTAATTTTGGTTCACTTTCTTACAAAAGAACTCCAGCTGAGATTCTACGGATCGTATATGGTTCTGGAGATGAACATGTACCTGGTGGATTTTATCCTAACGGTGCCAATGGAAAAATTGCTAAGGAATTTCTAAAATAGCCATGAAAATTTAAGTTTATCATTATATATATTTGTAATAAGTTTTTATGAAATAAATAAACATGTAGTATGGTGTTAATATTGAAAGAATTTTCCAATAATTGCTTACATAAAGATTCAGTAAATGAAGTAAAATATTGTTCTATTTAATTTCTTTAACGTGTTGTTTAAAATTTTATATAAATCTTTAATGGTGTTTCTTATTTTTTTCTCATATCTAATCTCTTTGATAATATCACTAAGCAATCAAGAGTTCTCGGCCCCAAAAAACAACAAATATTATATCATATATTGGAAAGAAAAAAACAAATGCTGTGCATGCAACTATATCTTATGCTGAAGAAAACAAGTAATTAAAGGTGTCAACTAATTCACTATATTATAAGTTTTATAACTATATAAAACGATGTTATGTGAATGTTTTATCCACTTATTTCATTATAATTGTATATGAAAAAGTTATAAACGTGTGGCTGCATAGTTATGTGTATGCAATTTGTAGTTTTTATTTTATTTTTAAATTGAGAGTTGGAAATGTCGGAAATGGAAGCTCACAAACAAATTAAAAAAATTTAGGCATCCAACTAACTAAATTAGTCCCTTATGTTTGTATTTTATAAATCGTCATTTAAAGAATTATAATTTACATACATAATTTTGATAATAGTTAGCATGCTCATATAGATTTAATTGAACACATAATTATTTGGATTTAAGAACAATAATTATTAAATGTAATAACTATATAAAAATGAAATTGAACAATAAATATAGTTTAAATAAAAAATTCAAAATTGTTTTATGATTATTTCAATCAAATAATATTTTGATAATGAAACTAATTGAAAATTAATAGAACTTTTTACCATGATTTTGTGACTTGTGGATATTTTATTCAATAAAAATGGAAATAAAATTTAGCCAAAACAACAAATAAGGAAAAAGAAAAAAAAATCATCCAATCTCTCTATTAAAATAACGGAATAAATATATTTTCTAATTTGAACTTGTTTCCATGATATACCCTTTCGATCGAGAGTCATTGAAAATGTCTTTGCTAATTGAGAATATGTTTCTAACTTTTCATTTGCTTGAGATCATATCATATATTTTAATAAAATTAGTGATTTAAAATGAAAGTATAATTATTCTTTTCTTATAATCATTATTTTTATGATAATATTAATATAATATTATTATTTATAACAATATTGTGGATTATTTATAGCAATTTTGTTTACCAAGATTTTAGTTTATTTTTTAAAAAGATTTCCTTAAATGTTAATGTAAAAATATTGTTTATAACTATTAAAATTTAAATAGTTTAACTTAAATTCAAAAATGTTCCACTATTAAAAACTTTTGGCTTTGCTCTAGGCTCACTCTTGAAATAGCCAAAATTTGCATTTTTTAGATAGCTATTAAAGAAAATAATTGAATATTGATTATATTGTAAAATATTATTTAAAATTATATTGACATAAGAATAAAAGTTAAAAGGTATTTTTATCGGGAAATTTTTTTAAATGTCAATATTTTCACATTTAATAGGACTCATTGTCAACATTTTTAATATTTAGTCAACAAAAGAAACAATTGTTAAAACAGAAACGAGAAATTAAGGGGAGAGAAAAATATTAAAAAGAAATAATTGTTTAAGAGTCTTATTAGTTACAAAAATTCAAAAACAAAGAATGAATTGACAATTTATCAGAATACAACAACTTCCATCTCTTTCTTCTTCTTTCACAATGTTCTAAAAAACACGCCTATCATCATTATTCTAAAAATTCAATATTCAATTTTCTTAATTTTTTTTGTTTCTAAACACGTTTATTACAATACATTATCATATTTGAAGCAGTTTATTATACTAAGACATCATTTTAACGTTATGAAATTATAATTTATCTTTAAAATTGTCTGAAATTTTATGAAATTATTTGGCTATCATGTTAAGGTTATGAAATTTATGTATCTCATTTTAAGAAATTTTCCAATATTCAAAATACAATACTCATGTATTCATGGTATAGATATTAATCCATCTTAGATATGCATTTTATTTTGCTTATTTCCAATATCACTTTGTATACCAAATAGTTTGTATTTAGATTTGATTTTGTATTCGTCTTAATGTATACCATAAAGTTTGTATTTAGATTTGATTTCGTATTCGTCCTAATGTATAACATAAAGTTTTGTATTTATATTTTGATTTCGTATTCATTCTCAACTATAAATAGCTAAAATACTGTTTATTTATGTAATCATTCTAATTGTATCAGTCAAATAAT